AAAGAGAGGAGAAAGGAGCTGTTTGTTATATCAGGTCAAAATCCACATGCACCCTTGCATAACTGGTCCTCTGCTCTGGCTGGTGAGCAAGATTAGCAGGCTTGCAGCCACATTCCTCTCATCTCTTGCGAAACTCCAGCCTGTGAATATCTTTTATTTATTGTCACTAGTTAACAGCAAAGAGGGAAAAGGGACAGCTTAAGATGATATTGACACTAACAAAGCACATGATGTATTTTCTGTGAAGAATTACCTGATTACTGATAAATCCTGCAATTGCATCCATCTGGTGAAAGCCCTGACTTTATGAAGGAGAAGGGAAATTTGCTGTTCTTTTCCTGAGCTTCTGTGACAGTGCCCTCTTGAGAGAGGTTAAGTACCGGTGAGGGCAGCACTCTGAAGAGAACCACTCGCTGTCCCATTGTGCTAATGCTGCTTACTTTTATAAGCCACCCTTAGGAAGATAAACATCTCCCACAGAAGGTTTTTGTTAAATAAATAAACAAGATGTTTAACCTAACTACTAGCTCGTTATAACATCCTGATTGTACTCCTCCTGGAATAGTTATCCTGGTTTTGTTTTCCCACTGTTTATGGAGCCTCTCTTAACATCACAGTTATACAAGGCATCCTTCATCAGTTTCTAGATTCCAGGTCCCTCTCCTCTTACCCCAACAAGTAAGCTGGACTTGCTCAGTATAAGAACTTCTGTAAAGGTTTGTCCAAATCTTCATGGAAGTTTTCTCAAAACTGGTCAACACTTTTTAACTACCCACATGAGGTGCATAAAATCTCCACTTGGATGTGCCAGACTGAAGAGTAGAGCCCAGTTCCTTATGGGTGTCAGTGTTACCATGAGAGCTGAGGGTGCAGTAGGGATGTACCTTGATGAGCCTTCACCAGAGAGTTTAGCCATTAGCACACTTAGTAAGGTCCAATTTGTCTCCTCAAATTTGTATCCAGGTATTCAGTACCTGTGTGATAATGCAGCAGATTCATTAGTTTGGTTAAACAGGCAATATGTAAGGAGTAAATAAGCAATATGTAAGGAGTAAGTAAGTACTGTTTGTGCAGCAGCCTTGTGGATTTTTTTAGTGGGTAACTTTCAGGTTTTGATCACCTGAGAGTCTTCCAGTTCCCAGTTTTTCTACCTTGCCATTAATTCAGCAGAGTTCTTTGGCTCATTCCCAACTCTAGTTTTTGTGAATGGGCGCAGTGAAGTAAAAGGGACCACTCGAGAAACATGTATCTTGCTGAATCAGATTGGCACTAGTTTCTTTCTCCATCTGGAGCCCAAAAATAATGTTCTAAACATACTAGGGAATTTAGTAGCAGTCTTTTTAACATTGTGTACATATCTGTGTTTCCTGAACTGATTTGAAAACTTCCCAACTGCTGTTCCTTTTTACCTATTGCCTGAATAAACAGAAAATAATAGGACTTTTGTATAGTAGAATTGCACAGTAATTCCTCCATTCCTTTCCTTCTGAATGTGAAGTTCTCATGTTTAATGGGAATTAAAGCAGTTGACATGAAGAGCAGAGGGGGTGATCCCCTGTCCCTGGGTCAGTGTGAGTTACAGCAGTGAATGATTAGCGAGTAGTGCAGGTGCAGTTCAGGTGTGCCCTGCACATGTGCAACCTCTGACTTTTTCAAGCTCAGCATCTGCCCACCAAATGAAATCCCTGCAGTTAGTGATTTTGATTGTGCTGAATTCCACTCTGTTCATGAGCCTTTTAACTTCTTTCACAAAAGAAAAACTGCCTCTCTACATGGAGCATAAAGTTACTGGATGTGCTAGGATAGGAAGCAGCTTTCTGGCCAGCCACAGGCTGGAAAGATGCAGTGTGCTGGCTTTCTCACAAAGCTAAGCAATCCCAGTTGTCCTTTTAATTTTGTTTTGCCCTTCATGGTAATCCTCTTTGGCCAAATAAGATCTTTATCCTACTGTCTGCAAATCATTTGCTCAGATTTTTCTAATTAACTTGGGGTCAACATTTATATAGTCTTACTTTGTTTCCTTGCAGCTGCATGGAAATACTTTTTAATGTATTTTAAGGTGAACCTGGTGATTACTGCTCACAATACCTTCAAGTTGATATGACACTCCAGCTTGTGCTATATTCCTTCTCCAGATACAAGCCCTTAAGAGAGGCACTGATTTCCCTCTTCATGCAGGTTTAGGATCCTGCTGTCGAGTCTTGTGGCACCTCTGTTTTTTGAAGGAGCCCTGAGACAAGTGCTGAGTATCCAGCATGCTTTGCTCTCTGCTTTGTGATACTCATGTGTTTTGTTCCCATTTCTTGCAGACATGTATGACATTTAGGGTTTTGACATCTTGTCTCTACCCTGGAGCTGCTATTTCTGAATGCTGAATTCTTCTCAAGTACTGTAGCTGCATTGTTTGAACTGCTTTGTTTTTCTTAACAAAGCGTAGCAGATGCTTTCTAGGATGTGAGGCTGGGGTCAAGGAGGGCTCTAGAGTTGCTTCTGGAGGAATTTGTCATCATTTGCAATGAAATGCACTGATAACATAGAATTCCAGTATTTTCCATAAAAACAAAATATCTTTGATATTAAACATGTGCTTTTACTTGGTGTTGTGGACCAGCCTGGCCAGAATCTAATTCCCATTTTGTTTTCTATCACCATCATGTATTTCAAAAGGATGTTTGTAGCATTGGTACACAGCAATATACTAACAGTTGGTTCTGCTGAAGCTGGAGATTACACAATTCTTCACTGTTAGGAGGCAATGAGTGAGTCTTCCCTTGACAACTGCAAATCAGAGCAGAATGTGATGTGCCACATCCTTTCTGATGACAGACTGTTCAAATAGATTTCATTACTACTATTCTCTTGATTAAATCAAATGCAAGTCCATGGGGTTTTTTTTTACAGCTCCCACTTTTGTGAACTGCACAGTTTTAATACATCTTAGATAAATTTTTCATAATTATAGTTGCTTCAAATCATTGACATGGGACTCCTAAGTTTTTTGCCCTGCAACAGGACTTAAATAGTCATTGTCATCATCTTTGTGCATCCAGCCTGCCAGGCAGGGTAGTTGTGGGTATGGAGGGATGAAAGCAGCCATACAGAACAGCAAGAATTTAGAACTGCCACAGGAAGTGGCAGTTTGGTGTTAAGCCATTTGATGCAAGGGTTAAGCAAAAGAAATCCACTACAAATAAAAGTTTACAACAGAGTTGTTGTTGCTCTGCAGGATGGGTTTCCAAGCAGTTGGACGTGACATGACTCAGCATGATGGGGCACTGTGCTGACTGGAGTCTCTAGATGATGTTGCTGTATAACTTGTTAGCACTTTGCAGCACAAAGTACTTTTCATCCTGCTTCATTTTGTTTAATGAGTCTAGCCTCACATCATCCAAGGGAACATTCAGCAGAGGCACAAGAACCTCAGTCTTCCTTAGGAGCTATAATCCTGATTATTACTACACTGAATAAGTGTAATAATAAATCACTTACATGGTGAATTACTCTTCAATTAAGCACCTATAGTTTTTCTCAGTCCTTCCCCCTCTGCTCTGTGATGTGTATGTGCATTAACCATCTGTCTGAATAGGATTGTGGCACTTTCTGTGGTAAATTATCTAGCTAACAGGTTCAGTTTAGAGCCACCAGTTTGTTCTAATGACTAGTAACCAGTACAGGCCAGTTAAAATATGTTGTTTACAGTCTGTGTATGTAATTAATAACGGATTTTAAATAATAAAGAAGGTGAGGGATGAGGCTCAGTTCTTATTTTGGATCAAATCAACTGATTGTTACGGGATCTGTCTTACACATAACTGCAGTCTGGCCTCCTTTCTTGACAGTACTCACATGAGATTCCAGGCTACAGTCTCCAGCAAAGGAGAAGGCAACCAGAACAGGATTAACCATGCTGGATTCTCTTCCTTGTTGGTGTTAGTGGCATTTTGATTGGCAGCTTGTCTGGATGCTGATCAATTATCCATTTTGTGTAAAAATGCTCTGGGAAACAACACGGTGACTTGAAAACTTGTGCTCCTGCAATGGGTGTAAATGGGTTGTGTGGATGTTGGTGTGTGAATGACCTGGGCCAGATAGTGGTGCAAGGGAGACACTGCAGAGTGTGTCTGCTCTGCCTGAACGGCTTTGTCCCTCGCTGTTCCTGTGTTAGCACAATGACCATCAAACCAGCCACCCCAACCGAACCAGTATTGCTGCTGTGGCTGCTCTGAGAGAAGGGGCAGAAGGAAGTGTGGTGCTGCAGGAGCAGCACACGCTGGAGCCACTCAGTTGCATCACATCTTCCATCTTTGTCCCTTGCTGCTGCTATCTGTCCTTGCCTCTGCCTGCCTCGGGCCCTTCCTTGCGCCTGACTCGGCTCGTGCTGAGCCAGCAGCAAAGTCTGGGGCTCGTTCTGGCTGCTCCCTCGTCTGTCCCCTTGCAGATGGGGTGCAACACTGAACCCTGTGCTGAGGCAGCATCCTGCCCAAGTGTTGCATCCCAAAGCTGGAGCCTGCAGAGCCTGAATTGGGAGCCCAGCTTGGATCTCGTGCCTGGCTCCCTGCTGCACTGCAGCCCTGCCTGTTGGGGGGCACGAGCTCCCCCTCCTCTCCTTTAGCTGTTTTAATGCTCTGATTACTGAAGTGGGTAAGTCACCACCTCGCTTGTAATAATTACAGATTTCCTCTGTGATTTTTCACTCGTCGGTTGCCACAGCAACTGTGCAGTGGCTCTGCCGAAATGCTGTCACAGGGATTTAAATCTGAAGCGGCTCAGCCTCTCTGCGTTCTGGCGCATCTTCCCTCTTGCCCCCCCGGCACCATGGCAACCTGGTGATGGTAGCCCAGCCTCGGCCATGGCACCCTGTGCTGCTTTTCCCTGCATCCCTGTGCCTGAAGGGATCCTGCTGGTGTTCTGTGGGTGTCCACATCCCCCCATTGCCATCAGGAGCAGTGTGCAGCGGGAGGTGCCGCTGGGATGCGTGCTGCCTGCTGTGCTGCCTGCGCACCACCTGAAGGGAATGAACCAAACCAAGGTTATTTTGTGACAGTGATGTGCCTGGGTCTCACCCTCAGGATATTTGCAAACCAGAGTAAAAGTAAGGGGTTTAGGGACAAAGCCTGTTCTTCAACTTCCACAATTGTTGGAAAGTAGGGAGCCATTTCAAACCTTATCACAGTCTGGCTCTGCGTCTCAGAATTTGTTTTCAGAAAGCTGCCGAGGAGGCTTTCGGATGAACCCGGACGCCCACATTCCAGAGACAGATGCTCTCAGGTCTGAGGCGAGTCGGGTGTTCCTCTCTGCTGGCTTTGGCTGAGCACAGGCTGTAGCTGCCAGGAGCTGGTTCCATTAACCTCCATTAACTGGGGCATCCCCCCAGCCGAGCTGCGGGGCTGCGGCGCAGGGCTTCCTCTGGGTGATGCCTGTCCCCGCTGCGCGGCTGCTGGAAGGAGCTGGCAGCGATGGCATTCCTCACCAGCACAACCAGCAGCAGCCTGCGCTGAAGGGAGGCACACAGTGAATCAGGGAGCAGCATTTCCAACCCAGGAGCTGGCTGTGGGGAGCCTGGGAGCAGCACTTCCAACAGGAGAGCTGGAGTTTGCGTCCGAGTCCTGTAAGTGCCTTTGCCGTGTGCCCGCGGGCGGTGGGGTGGGCACAGCAGCCGGCCACGCTGCACACTCTGCCCAGAGGGGAACGTGGGGATTTGTGTTTGAGCAGCTGTGTGTGTGTGTTGTTAACAGTGTCCCTGCCATGGATGCGCAGGGATAGCTGCTCCTGGTTTGTTTTCTGGACCCCTTGTACAGGAAATCTCCTGCATGGCTCTGCTTTTCCATGTCCTCAGCTGGAATGGGGGTCACCTTGAGAAACCAGAGCTCTCGCCCTGGCTTAAGATGTTTCCCTTGGTTTGGTGCAGGCTGTCTCCAAATGAGCTATTTTATGCCTTATGACACAGGAAAATAAATTGTGCTTTTATTTGATGCTATTTATCTATCTGTTTTCCTGACCTCTGAGGAGGCAGCAGTAAGATGCTAGGATTAAAATCTTACAAGGAATATAACTGAATTTCATTGGAAATACCACTTGAGGGTAATTTGCAATACTTTAATTTTTTCAAAACTACAAAATGCTTATGGAGCAACTAATGTGAAAAGCACGGCTGTGCAGTAATTTGTTTAATCCATTGTGAGCTGAGCTGTTTTGGTCTGGGAAACGTGTGGAAATGCACAGGCATGGTTTGGATATATTATTGCTATCTGCATTTAAAATAATGGATTTAAAATATGCTTGAAGAGATGTTTTTATATGTACCTTGCATGTAAAGTTCACTGAAATATCAATGTGCAGGTTTTTTCAGGGGGAACTGCTAAAAAATTCCTAAAAAAGATTAGAATTTTTTAGCTAATGTAAGTTTAGTTGTGCTTGTTTTTTATCATCATTTATGTACCATTGTGCCATTTATGTAGGTATTGTTGGCTTTGCATCTGGAACTTGCCCAATTTCTTGCAGATGCTTGTTTCAATTCCATTTTTTTCTTTTCCTGAGACAATGTACTCCTTTCACAGGGAAGGTATCGGCACATCTCATCCTGCCTTAGCTGTGCCAACAGTTCTTGGATCAAAAATGAGCTGCTCAGAAGTTTAGTGGGTCACCTGGATCCTAGTGTGCCATCATCACAACATTCCTACCTGTTCTTATTATCTGATTTAGGGACCAAGAGTCTTCCCTTGGCCCAGTATTTTAGAGAGAGGTTAAACAGAGACAAGGGCAGAAAGATTTTATTTTAAGAAAAAGGAAAATCATGTATTCATATCCAGCAACCAAACCCTGCTTAGTGGGCACCTGAGGAGGAGAACCTGGGCACATGAGTGTAGTGAGACTTTAGGCTGTATATGAGTTCTAAAACTTGATGGAAGGACTGAACCTGTTGTGGCTTTGCTGCTGGTTCAGCCCTGACCTGAGTGCAGGTGCCATGGAGCAGGTAGGGATTGTTGTGTCCCTATGGATCCTGGACATTATTTCCAAGTTGTAGGTGTGAGGTTTTCATCTTGTGCAGTGCAGCTTGGCTTGTGCTTTTGCTGCAGTGCTCACAGCAGACTGACTTGAATGCCAGCTGCATGTGGAGAGAGAGAAGGGAGCTGTGCAAAAAAACTGGTTTATTATGCTTTTGTGTGCAGTATTTACTGTTCTGTCAAGACTTGAAGGACAAAACAGTCTCTCCATTTCTATTCTTCTGAAGACTCATGGGACTGTCCAGTGCTGTTTGTGTTGATAAATAAATAAGCAACCCTGAATAACCGACACTTGAGCTTTACTTGTAGCTATGACAACTGTGTCCTTGACAACTTAAGTACAGTCATGGAGTTTTCAATTACATCCTGTTCTACACAAAGCCATTAAGATTAATAGAGGCATAAACAGCCTGTCAGCTTGTGAAGTGGTTTTTGGCAAGATCCATGTAGGTGGTAGATACACGTTTCCATGTGCAGAAAAACACCAGGTGTTCCTGGTGGGAATTGCCTTGGTGGGCTCTGCAGGCACAGGCTGGCCAGGCCTTGGGGACAGCCACGCTTTGCTCTTTTCGGGCCACATAAGTGTTGAGCTTCAAAGTGCTCAGGGTTCTCCTTTGTCTGGGTCCTGCAGACCCAGCACCCCTCTTTCAGAGTGTCCCTCTCTGTCCTGACCCTGCTGTGTGAGGTGCTTGTAACCACCTTCACTTTTGCAGTATGAGGCTGTGGCCTTTGGTTGACCAAGGTGGGGGATGAGCAGCTTCTTTTTCTTTGCTGTGCCCTCTCTTGAAGATGCTGCCTTTGTACTGTTTTTGAACCTGAGGGTTCCAGCACTGTTTTGTGCTGAGTTTGTACAGGCACTTAATGAAAAAATCTAATGCCAGCCTTTTATGAACACTAGATGTAAATTGCAACTTCCTCTTAACAGAATTTTTCAATTCTATTCTATTTCATTTGAGATAACTTTAACCTAGCTCTGACTGAATTTTTAAATTCTTGGTTTTACTCTTACAGACTTCTCCTGCAAATCCTGTTGTAAGCTAATCCAAATCTGTTTCAGAACTATATTTTGGGATAAAACCCCAGGTTAAGTAAAAGGGTGTGTTGTGTTTCATTGTGTGCACTCAGGCTTTCATAAATACAGTCTATACTGAACTCTTAACTCTGCTCCTGGGACCAAGTGAACTGCAGTTCACTTTGATGTATTTAACTGCAGTTAAATACATCAACATGCTGCCAGGCCTCTTTATTTACATTGTTGTTTACTACATTTAAAGTGGCTAAAGCAGCAAGTCAGGATTTCTAATGTCACCCTGTGCTCTGTCAATAACTGGTGAACTCATTCAGTTGTTTCCTGCTTTGATCTGGATGTGGACTCCCAAAAGGAGGGTGGGGCTGTGCATTTTCAAACAGAAAGTGCTGTGTTCTTTGGATCTTTTTATGCAGCTACCATGATGACATTACATTACCTGATTCTTCCTCAAATGCAGACTAAGGAAGGACATGATTATAGTTAATGGATGATAGCCTTGATTGTCTTCTACCTTGCCCTTACTGACATTTGTGAAATTGTGGGGCTGTTCCAGAGTCTAGGATCTCCTTGAGCTGTTCATTGAAGTAAAATAGCTCAGCTAAATCACCTATGTCATTAAAAATGCTTGTTCATGAACAGCACAAACCAGGAGATTTGCACCCCTTTGACAAGTCCAGGATGGACCTGGGTCCTGCCTGGCTTTCCACCATTGTCCTTTTTAGTCTTAGGAGCCACAGCTGACTTGGCTTCTCAATTTGCAGTTCCTTGTGTTGATAAAAGACAGATGCAGAAGGAGCAGTGTGAAAGCAGGCTGAGCTGTGAAATACAGACCTTGGAGAGACTCCCTCCTTGCAGACTGTCCATGCCAGGCTGTGGGAAGGGAGGGCTGGCATTTGGGCACAGTGCTGGTGCTGTGTGAGCTCTGCAGCCTCTGCCCCCACCAGCAGCCCCTGTGCAGCTCACAGGGTGTGAGCCTGGTGCTGGGTTCACATCCAGGTGCAGCCAAGCAAACAGGACTAAGAGATAGTTAGAAATGCTTGAAATTTCACAATTAGCACCTATCATGACTATACCCTTGCTGTGCAGCCTAGGACAGTCAACCAAAGGAAAATAGTAAAAAAAGGAATTTGCCTTTAGGTCCCTCCCAGCTCCCCAGATCCACTTTTTGGAAAGCTTGTGAAGTAACTTCCCAATGCAGTTTGTGCTACTGTTTCTAAACCACTTAATTGTTCCTGTTAAATGGGTTTGGAGCCGCTGAGGGACAGATGAATGTGCCCCCATGAATTTCAAGCAGGTTTCTGTGTCCTTGGCAGAGTTGCAAGAAAGAGATGCAAATTTGCAGAGCTGACTTCTCCTCCCATCCTGCTGGGTCTCAGTTTTACCTTTACACCTCCCCAGAGGATGTTTTCCAGGGCAGGTTCTTGAGCTGCAGCCTGGCACACGGTGTCATGCTGCATTAGCTTCTCTGCTAGGGAGTGAGATTGCTGCACCAACTCCTAGTTTGTCTATTCTTACTCTTGTACCTGGATCAAACCCCCACTTTTTAAAACTTTTTTCAGGGTTTCCCCCCAAAGAAACACAATTTTGTTGACTCACAGTCAACAACCTCTTTCTGTGTTCCCAGTATGCTGCTGCTGTTGTCTGTAGTAACTAGTTTTATCTGTCAGAAGTAATCGCTTGGAACAGAAATTTAGCAGCTGCTGTTCAAAAAAAATGCATCCAATTTCACAGCACGCATTTAAAAAATCCACATACACTTATGTTTCATCTGTGTAATAAACTGGACTGAGATTCCACTTTGAAAATGAAAATAATTTTTGTTACTAGAAGAATGTGGCTGTGACTTAAAGACATGAAGTGGCAAACACAGTTTATGTAACACAGAATTACAGACAAAATGATGCAAGTGTATTTTGAAAATTAAGGTACTGAGATTCACTTCAGAATAGCAGTTCTGTGGAGTCATCTGCACCAATGGCCTGCTTCAGCTCAGACAGTTGCCAGTAGAGAAAAATGTTTAGGGATGACTTAGGAATCTTTTTCTGGAAGGGTGTCACATCCTGGTGGTCTGATGGTCTTTCCCATCCCTTTTCCTGTCAGATATCTGAAATTGGTGGCTGTATTTTGCCTGGATTTCAGGAATTTGTGTGTCCGCAGTGGCTCCGGAGCAGCAGCGGTGCTGGAGCGTGGCACTGCTGCGGCTCTGACATGTGCAGGAGAGCTGATTTCTGCTGGACTGCAAACTGCTGCTTGCAGTGCTGGATCAGGCTGGGCTGGTGGGAATCGATCAGAAGATGGTTATGGAGGCAAAATTCAATTGGTTATTGTGATAACCAAATAATGTGTGCTTAGACTGAGATACCAGTCACATCAGCTGATCTCTTGTGAGAGCCTGTGTGCATAATGGAGCTGGAAAAGACGCTGGGTTTAGTTATACTCACATGTGATATTACATGATTTATTCTGACTCTGGAATAGAAAATGGTAAAACTTTTTATATAAGAACTGTCAAGGAAAATTAGGGCTAAGCAACTTTATTTTTAAGCCTCATGCAGTAACTTTTTTAATATGAGTAGTTCAAAAAGCCAGTATCATTTCCAATTATATTTTTCAGCCTCTAATGAATACTGTAGTTTAGCTATTAAAGGACTTGAAATAAACACTAAATACAGTTAGAAATAAATAACATTCTGGAAGCACACATAAGCATGGTTCACCTAGGGAAGGAAGAAGAGAAACCTGGGCACTGGTGGGCACAGCTGTGGAGAGTGACTGGGAGGTGTGTTTGATTTGTATGTGAAGAGGCATCTCATCCTTGTGGAGAAGGAAGGTCCAACAGCAAAACCCCCATGGGAGATGACTGAAGGGCATGAGAACAAGGAGTGAACCTTGGTGGGTTGCTGAGTATGTTTGCACTCTCCTTTTGTGAGTTCCTGCAAGGCTGTGTTCACCTTTGAACAGCTTCCTAAAGACTCTGAAAAAATAATACTTTGCAGAGGAAACTTATGGAGGGAATTGGAGATTGGAGAAGTACAGACCAGATAAACAGCTCTGGGCAGAGAACATCAATCAAGGTGCTGGGCATTTTCTTACTGACTTAGGCTGGCATTTGTTTTTTGTTAGAAGGAGATCATGAGATAAGAAATCCATGGTGTTGGGATATTTCTTCACACATTGATTATGCTACAGTTAGCACAAGTAAAGAAAGAAACTGAGAGAGAAAACATAATGAATTAAACTAATCTTACAAGTGAAGTTACTTTTCTGAAAATCATTAAATAGTTTTTCTGAAAAAAATTAAGTAGTTCTCTCTGTAGTTGTGACCCAAAGCCTTAGGAAGCTAATCTTGCTTTTTCAGTGTGTGCACAAGTGTTGTGCAAGTGTTTGCTCATCTTGGCACATTGCAAACTACCTTGAATTTTAACTTAAACAAAGTGAAACCAAGTGCTATGTCAGTTGTCTGGGGAGATATGGGGAATTAGTTTTGTTCCTGAGTCTGAATAGGTCGGTGAATTTATAAATCTCTGTAGGCAAAAAGTTTTTTTTGTTTTCTTTTATTTATTTTTTAAAAGCTCAAGTGTGAAGGAAAACAAATAGTATTTTGCATAAAGACAATACAAAAACTAAATTTCTGATATTTTTGTTCTGGGTAGGAGATACTTGCTATCATGGTAGCAATAGTTCAGCTGCTTCCCTGCATCTGGTCGTGAACATCTGCTGGCATGTTTTATTGATGGCATAGGACTGATGGAAGCTGTAATGTGTGATCTCTTTCTGCTGAAAGATCAGCTCTACTCTGGGTGTATTTGTTAAATAGAATTTTTTCCAGGTTTATGGATAATAGTGACATTTTGTCTTTGGTCCACTGCTGCTCCATGGTCTGCATCCAGCGAGGTGCAAGTGCCAGGCAAAGGGCTCCAGTGTCCTGCACAGAACACAGGGGGCCATGCTAAGTGTGAGGTTTGAATTTAACCTGTCTCCTGGATAATAATTCAATGACCTGTTTTATCTATTTCTGACTTCCAGCCAGGCTTTCTGCACAAGTGATCCAGAGTGAAAAGGGAGTCGTGTTATCTTTCATGCTGCTTGACTTTCCAAGGTCATTTATACATAACCAGCTGAGGTAGAACCACGGAATGTCTGAGGTTGGGAGGGAGCTGAGGGCTGGCTGGTCCAGCCATCTGCTCAAGCAGTGACACCTCAAGCAGTCTGCTGTGGACCATTTGGGTTGTGGATATCTCCGGCATGGTGATTCCATGCCCTCTCTGGGCAACCTGCCAGGGGTTTCCCTGTGTTTGGGTGGAGCTCAGGGTATTTTAGTTTGTGCCCATTGCCTCTTACCCCACCTCTTGGCATCTTGACCCCTCTGAGAAACTGCTGGCTCCTTCTTTACTCCCTCCCATCAAGTATTTATTACACATTGATGGGATGCAACCTGAGCCTTCTTCAGGCTGGACAATCTCAGCTCTCATGTTCTCTCTTCACAGAGTTGTGATTAATGGGTAAAAACTGGTTTTTCAGGGGATTGATTTTCTTTTATTTCCTAATGCTTGTCCTGCTGTCTTTTGTATTAGATGAGATTTTTCTCATAAACTTAGGTCATATCAAAAACAACAGTTTGGCGTGAGAAACTGACTGGAAATGATTTTTTAAAAGTTCAACACAGTATACATATACAGAGAAAGTAGAGAGGGAGAGCAAGGGAAAATAGGTACTGACCTTTACCCCTGGCCCTGCTGAAGCTGTGACATAAACCTTTAGCCTGCAAGTCATTTGCCTTAGCAAGACCAAGCCAAGAATCAGATGTGGGGCTCAATCCTGAGACTGCTCTGGACATCAGCATCAATCCATCAAACCATGCTTTCAGTGTCTTTGGATGGAAATTAGTGAAAGGGGGAGTTGAAATGAACAACACAGTAATAGTGGCTGCATCTCTAGGGACATGAATAAGTGTTTTTTTCTTTTTTCTTTTTTTTTTTTTTTTTTTCTCCCCAGAACATCAACCAGAAAGAAATCTCTCAAGATTGAGTCTTTTTCAGTAAAGAAAAGATAAAATGGCATCAATGTTGCTTAGTCGACAGCTGACCTGTTGCCTGCAGCAAAACTCCAGACTGCTGGTGTTTGGTAAGTGTTCCCTTGCAGTTCCCTGCTTTGTATTTGGTAAGTGTTAACTTCAGGCTGGTGGACAGAATTCCAGTTTGAACATTGCTGGGGTTTGTCCTGTGATGTTGAGTCTTTCAAAACTTGAGGAATATGATGTATCTTAGGTGATGATGGAGTTGCAGTCTAAAGTGGACCACAATTGTAGTCCAAAGTATATTTGATTTTTTTTCCTTCTTCAAACAAGAATGTATCAAGTTAATAATTTGTCTTGTAAACATGCTAACTCAAGTAAAGCTCTTTAGCCCTTGGAACTATGTATTTATTCTCTGGCAGTGCATGGTGCAGAGATGAGACAATCATCCATCAAAATGAGCTGGGTTTTCTCTTTGTGCTGTGTAGCACAACTTTGGCCATCTTCCTTTGTGAAGAGGTTTTGTGTGACTGGTAAGAGGATGTGACCCTCACTGGGGTTGTGTGTTTCTGTCTCGAGTGAGCTCTAGTGTGAAATAAAAACCTGCAACATGCCATCAAGCTGCTTTCTCCTAAGTGAATGGCAAGTTTTGGCTTGGCCCTGGCTTGAAATTTAGCATGTGTATTTTAAACCTTCAGTCTCTGTGAAATAGATATAAAAACTAAATTCCTGTTGTCTGTGTGGAGTCTTAAGATCATCCATTCCATATACTGTTACACTATGGCTGAATGGCTTTTTTTGTGACTGAGTAGATCTTAGTGTTTCTCCTGTCCTTCCACCCTCCTGCAATGCCACTGTCAGGATAAACCAAGCACACCCTTCCATTTGCTCAGAAACTTAAACATCATTGATTTCCTTTTAAATAATACACTTTGGGGAGTAACTGACCTTTGGCTAAAGAACACCAAGTCTAGTCTTATAACTATTAGAAAATATTAGGTCAGTGTTTCAGTGCAGGATACGCTTCTATTTATGGGAGTGACGCACTGATTATCCACCCTGGGCAGGAGCAGGGATCGATCGTGGGCAATGGAAAGTGCTTGCAGCAAGCAGGCCTCGTTAGCTGTCAGTCCTGTGAGCTGATCTGTCACCTCAGCATCACTTAATGAATGCTCCCTGTCCCTCCCAGCATCTTGCACAATTCCGTGCTGCTTCCCAAGCACAGAGGGGCAGATGGGCAGTGGAGGGCCGGTGCACAAACTCCTCTTCCATCCTCACCATCAGTCAGGGAGTGTAGATCCTCATCAGGAAAGCAGCTCTGGATTCCATTAATCCATCCTTGCTTCCAGGAAACTTGCAAGCCTGCTAAAATACTGGAGCAAATAATAGAGGGCCTTGGCTGCAGGTTGTATAAAACAGCCGTGGCCTTTGGATCTGAAGACTTTGTGTGAGAGACCAGGAACGATGGAGCGAGAGGAGAGCCCCTCACCAGGGGAACTGTCCTGTGCTCCTGCTGCCTCACAGAGCAGGCAGGAGGCTCTGATGGCTGTAGCCAAAGCTGGAGCTCCAGGCTGTTTTCCTGAGCCCCAGCTCAGGCTGCAGTGCTGCTGGGCTCTGTGGCTTTTAGGGGAGTGCTGAGGGTGATGTTCAGGAGCTCTCTGCTCCAGAGTGCTCGCCTCCAAGGTATTTTTGGGCACTCAAGTTCAGGGCTTTACAGGCTAAAAAACAGACTTGTGCATTACTCCCACAGAAATCCTGCAGTGCCATTTGGGCTGATGCTTTTTTTTTGCTTTTTTTTTTTCCCCCTTGTGGATAATGAAATGACAGGGTTGCCAAGGGGGGGTGGAGGTGGAGAGGAGGAAATAGATTGCCTCTTGGTAGGTCTTTGTCTCTGTAGGCTGTTTACATGTGTCATGTTTCAGTTGTATGTATGCATTAAGCAAATCATCTTGTTCATCTTGAATCTACAATAAATTTATTTGCACAAAGGTTTTTTTCTCATCCTTGACTATTTATTTCTCTAGTTGGAAAATCTGGAATTTGTCTTTGAATCCTACACTAAAAGCATGGCAGAAGGTCAGGCTGCTGCCTCAAGGTAGCATCAGTTTGCATTAGTGCACGCCCATGCCCTTCTAGGATGCTGATCTGTTCTACAGCTTCTGCAGCCTCCCCAGGCAGTTTGCTGATTGCTGAACTGGCTTTACCTTTAAAACTTTTTTCCTAATATTTAGCCCAAGTTTCAAAACAGGAAACAAATCAAGTCCTTATTGTTTGTCCTACACTCAGAGTGTACACTCAGGAGACTGCAACGTTTAGTTTTCCTTTGCAGCAGCCTTTCACATGTTTGATAACTATTGTCTCCCCCAAGACCTTGTACTTTTCTCTCCCCTGAATACTGTTTGAGTCTCTCCTTGTAGGTCCAATTTTTCTTCTCCAGTCTGCACCCTTCCATTGCAGTGCACTAAGTAGACTAGCACTTGTTGAGGCTGTAGCTCAGCCTGTTTTCTGTCTCTCTGGAGAGGATAATAATGTTTAGCACCGGGTGTGCTGCAGTAAAGTCTGAGAGATGTTCATAGTAGTTATTGACTTGTCCCCATCACAGTTACCACAAAGAGACTGGAAAGCCATGAGAATGATTTATTCTCAGTCACACTTTTGTCTCCAGTATTGATTCTTGCTAAGACTTTTTACTTTTTTTATTTGGTTTGTACATTAAGAGCCTCCCTAAGGAAATCAGAGAACAGCCTGGATTTGTGTGAGGGATGTGTGGCAGAAGCAGAGAACAGTCCCCTTCTTGGGATTGTAGGGGTCAGCTTGAGGTCAGCTTCAACTGAAGCCCTGCAAACTGAAGCCCTGCAAAACCTCTCCTGCTGGACTGAGGAACCTTTTCTGTCTGATCAAACACTTTCACAAAAAGCTGAGCTATATAAAAACAATCACATAAAACCTTGCTGTTGTAAGCAGGCTCTGGTACAAGGCAGAGTCCAAGCTGGGACTGCTGTTCTCAATTCCTTGAGGGAATGTGAAGTTCCTATCCAGTTCTCTTGTTCCTTCTGTGCCACAAAGGGTGGCTGTAGCAATGCTGGCTGTTTTCCCACCTGTGTGTTCCTTGTGGTTGGCTGTTCACCTCCAGAGGTGTCCTGATGAGCTCTATAGCTGTTGAACTGTTGAAAGAGGGAAGATGTTACAACTGGTTCAGATCACAGGAACTATGAGACCAGTGGTTGGATGCTCCTGTAACTCTCCTGTGGAGTTGATTTGGGATTGTGCTGGGATGGTGAAGGGGAACTTCTCTTGTTCTTTCTTACAGAAGTTTCCACTTCCTTATGGGAAAACTTCTTTAGTTTTTTTCTTCATCTTTGGAGAATCCAAAGTGTGTATGTGGGAGTGCTGAAACACAGACAATTTCATGTGGAAGAGCTTCTGAACTTGCAGCATAAGCACTCTGTAAATAGCAATCTCAGTTTTCACAATGTTATGCAATAGTGATGTTCATTTCCCAAACATCTCTAGCTAGCCTGGCCTTTTGCCATTCCCTTTCAAGATCTGTTAGTAACAGATTCTACTTGTAACACATAAAAGAGGACTCAGAGGAAATCACAGTCCTCCTACTTTCGGCTGTCAGGGCCTCCATGCTCTAAAAATTCTGTCTGGGAGATGGTTTGATCGACACTGTGGAGGGGAAGTTTAGGGCATGCAAGGAAGGTTGCCTGTCTGCACTTGTGCAGGGCTGCAGTGACATGGCACGTGGCATGTGCCTCCCTGGGGACTGCAGAGCTTCCCTCTACACCCCTTCACAGCAAGGCACTTGTGTTTGAGAGCTCTGGTTATGGTCATGGACTTTCATTCCTCTTCCTTTTCCTTGGAATTGTTCCTTCTGTTCATTACACCAATGTCCTTTCAGTGCCTCTGCTGGAGTTTCTCCAGGGAATATCCAGCTGTACACTCAGGAGCTGTGTTAACGTGTTAGTTTTGGTCAAACACATGAGAGATTCAGGCTCTTTCTAGCCCTGCCTTGATTGTAGCTCTGTTATCAGAGATCTCAGCACAGACCTGCCAACAGTGGTGCTCTTTGTGACTACCAGCATCACCAAATTAGCAGGGTGCACTTATATTAATTATGTTGCTATAGCAATGTGGTAGTTTGTTAAAATTGGGACCAGGACTCCTGGTGAGCAGTGGGGGCAGTGTGTGGAAGCAAAGTTGGGAAATGAGCTTTTCTGCCTGCTAGCAAGTGATGACATCCTGCTGGATGAAAAGGAAGGATGTGATAATTTGCTGATGTTATTCAAGTGTTCAGAAAGATGATGTGTGATGAGAGCTTTGAGAAGTCTGCAAGAAAAACAGAATATAACTTATTATGCCCATCTTCTTTAAATGGGATGGATAGAAAATACTGTGCAAATTGTTCAGCCTGTGTGCTCTCGGAAATGAGGTCCAATAACAGTACCTATGCTTGTGTTTTGACTTTTGCCATGATAAAAAGATAAAACAGCTTTGTTTACCAGGAGAAAAAACGTGCTGTTCTTGGTCACGTCAGCTAAATGTAGTTTAAGAGCTTTGGTAATGCTTCTTTAGAGAAGGATACTTGGTCAGAGCCCATTAGCTCAACATACTGTTAAGATGAGAGTTGAGATTTTGTCATTTGTTCCTGTTCTTAAGATAATATAACACAAAATCCCCTTTTTCTAAGGCAGTTTGTTCAGATGTCAACAGAAAATCAAGGGATTACCTTTTATTACAAAGTTAATGGTGTTAGTTCACTGAAAGACCAGTCACCAGAGATTCTCAATTCTTGAAAATTCCTTGCTTGGTCATAGTGAAAATCTCAGTTTTTACCTGTCCCATCTCTGCTGTCTTTCTGGGAGGCAAAAACCCAGACCTGGACTGCAAATGTCTAAAACTCCTAAATATCAAGTCGGAATAGCCCGAATTCCATTGTATCTTGTATCTTCAGGGTTTCTATTGCAGGGTAAGTTGATTTTAAAAAGTCAAACAGGAAAAATTTGGACTGAGTTGCAAAACTCATTGAGTACCTTCAAGACAGAAATGCCAGCTGAGCAGAGCCTACTGCAGTTTCCCAGGGGATGAAGCACTACAGTGAGTGACCTGATTTATTTGCATTTTCTTGCACCATTAGGAGACTGTGGTACTGATGCTGGGGGAAGCAAGTGAGACAGAGCATGGTCTGAAATCCTCCTCCAGGCTAAACAAAGCAGGTATTGATGCAGCCAGCCATCACCATGTCCAAGTGCGTGGAAAAGCCTTTGCAGGAGAGCAGCCACGTCCTGGAGCTGTGCTGTGAGCAGGGCCACAGGCCCTGGGGAGCAGGAGGCAGCACCCGTGTCCTGCTGCTCTTCAGGGCCTGGAGAACAAAGCCTTGCAGGGGATGTGGAGAGGGGGGTGCCAGGAAGGCCTGAGTGCCCAGGCAGGGGTGCCCAGGCTGCCTTTGGCAGGGCTCTGACATCCTCTGTGCCCTTGGAGAGTGGCCTGAGCTCCTGTTTGGCCTGCAGAGCAAGGGCATGGTGAGTGAGGCTGAGAGGAAATGGGCTGTGTGAAGGGGAGCAGTGCTGGGGCCATCCCCTGTGCTCAGAAAACTGCTGCCAGTACCCCAGACTGCTGGCCTTCTTTGCCTTTGTCACAACAAGGCTTTGGACAGGTCCCTGAGCACCAAGGGAGCATTGAGCTGCAAAAGTCTTGGGCTGTGTGAGAGAGTTTGTGTCAGGTGCCCTTAGCCAGGAGAGCTCCTTGTGCGTGAGTGCTGTGGCTGGCACAGTCTGGGTGTCCCCACAGTGTGCCCACAGTGTGCCCACAGTGTCCCCTGGGTGTGCCTCCAGAGTCACACAGAGATGGAGCTCAGCAGGAGACACTGCTTTCACTGTCAGTAGAATTTCTGATCAGAGTCCCAATGTACTTGAGTAAGAGTAGGGAAAAGAGTAAATATGGGGCAAGCAAAGAAATTGTTTCTGTGTCCTTAAAATTAGGGTTGTTTTGTTTATTCTTAACCAGCCCTGTGAACAAGTATGCCTGTTTGATGAATAGTGCAGTGGGGTATTTGGAATAAATCTACTGACCATGCTAGAAATTGTGTGAGTTTATGCCAATCATTTATTATGCTCTCACGGGGAGAAGAACTTCACTAAAAGATGAAGTTGGAGGATTTACTCCACTTTGATTTAGCTTTTACTATCAAAGACTTTGCTAGTATATTGGAGTTTTGGTTTCTGAGGGTTTTGTTCTAGCCTATATTATTCATGCAATACCTAAGGGAAAAAAAACCCCACCATTTTTCAAAATCTTTTGATCCGGTGACATGGGGCATTTTTGTTTTTATGGCAAGCTGTTCCTTCAGATGCAAGCCACAGTGTTTGCCTGAACCAGGAGGTGGAACAGTGCTTTGACAAGCATAAGATCGACAAATGGGTGCCATTATGAGACATTCTGTGGACACCTGAAAACAAATATGTGAAATTAAGTTTGTATCAGTGAATCAGCCTAGAAATCACTTGCCTGTGGAGCCTGTAATGTGCTTTAGGAGATAACAAGCAAGAGCAGGGAAGCCTGTTCTTAAGGCTTTGTTAAGTTTTTAGCTGTCTCTGGCTCACAGCTTATTGAAAATGATTGTGATTTGGATAAGCTGCTCCTGAAACTTTTGCTTTAAAAATATCTCACAAATTGACTAACATGACTAATTTGATAAAAATTATCTTTTAAATCAACTCTTGTCCTAGGAAGACCTGTGTGTTTTGGTTTCACTTGACCAGTTTTGCTGTCTGAAAGCCTGTCTGCTGATGAGCTGTGCCAGTGTGAAGTAGTGCAGCACTGCACAGCAAGGTGCTCTTCATTTTTGATAATTCAGATGTGCCCATAGATACCTGGTTCAATGTGCAAAACAGACTGTGGCATAAACTGTAGCAAAAACATGATGATTAAAAATTTACAAAGCAGACTGACCCACTTGGGTCTTTGTTAGGCAGCCTGGCTGAAGGAAGCAACCTCCTCTTGACTTGTGCTGTTAAACAAGTTAGGACAAGATTAAAATAGTCTCCAACTTAAAGTCCCTGTTATACAGCTCTATAAATATGAATTTATTTGTAGGAGAGGTCATGCCACTTGCAGTATCCACAACAACACTTGCTTAGAGGAGTAACTGAACTCGTGTTTAAGTTAGAATCCTTACTTGTTACAATATTTCACAGATCATCCTTCAGGGAAGCAGAAGAGGAGGAATGTCATCCACCCCTCCCAGGTGGCAGCCAGGACTGTTGCTCTGGATTTTGGAGCCTGGCAGTCAGGACCTTGCAGGAATGGCTTGGGTATTTGCAGAAGAGGAGATATTTAATCATGGTCCAAAGAAGTGCATTTTCGTGAGAACTCAGTTGAAAAGACTAAGGAAGGAGGTGTTGTCCAGATGAAAGGATCCTCGGAGATGGGCAGAGGGGATGTGGTGGCACAGGGTGTCTGGCAGCAGGGCACAAGCCAGGGTGGGGAGGAAGAGGGTGAAGACAGTGCATGCAGGTCATAGCTCACCTGCCTTCTGTCTGCAGCTGTGTCCAGTGATTCCAAGTCTGATGTTGGGTATGTCTCCTGTTAGTGCTGACTCCCAAAATGTCCTGTACCTTCTGTGCCTCTGGGTGCTTTCCCCTTTGTCATAAGAAGTAGCACCTATAGCCTGGGGGGAGTGAGAGAAGGGGACATAGGAGAAGCAGAAATGTTTGCAGCTGGTTTGGTGGGATCTCCATTGGGGAAGGAGTGGGTGCACAAAAGGGTAAATTTGGTCTCCTCTCCTTTTAGACTTGAGAGTGTGTATACTAAACCTACAGCCTTATTGCCTATGAATTGTGGAGATTTTGATCTTTTATATGCAGTAGTTTTTTCCCCCTCAGTGGAGCAGTTGCCATGCAGTCTCCAGTTCACATGAATGCTAAACAGAATGACACAAAAATGGTGTTGCTGTAACAAAACCTATTAATAGCTTTGCGGAGAGGCACTGACGCATCTGAATTAAAGCTGGGGAGAATAATCATCTTTGCAGACTAAGTTTTCTCAAGATGAGCAGTGACTTCAAGTGCTCAGAGATGCTTTCAAAGGGCAGTGATTTTCCAGATAGTTTCTTGAAATCAGGCTTGCTTGAGACATTCCAGCATGGGCTGAAACAAGCTGAGGCAAGTGTCTCGAGTCACTGTTGGAAATTTCAGCTGAATGGCTGTGCTCGGAGCACTGCTGAGCAGTATCACAGGATACCTTCTGTTTTCCTTTAAATATCTGGTTTATTTAACAACTGTTACTTCCAAACACAAAACATTTCCAGCATGCTGCTGGAACAGAGCTTTGGCAGTGAGAGGTGGGTATGGATGGAAGTGCAGAGGGCTGGTGCTGCCAGGGCTTCTGGTGGCAGTGCTGCACCCCAGGGATTTCCATGAGTTTGACTGCTGGCCTGCCTGCCCAGGCATCTCCCTCCCTGCACCTCTGCCAAACTGGGGTGCAGTTTATTGGTTTAGCACCTGACAGCACAGTCCTGGCACAGAAGGATGTGGTGAGTGGTACCTCCAGACCCTGCTGCTCCAAGTGTCCTGAGCAAGAGCTGATGTTGTTTGACTTCCCACGCTGAGCCTGGATCTGAGCTGCAGCTGGTGACAGGGAGAGCTAAGGACCTTCGTTTTGGGCCATCCAAATTACTCCAGCTAAAAGATGCTTATCACAGATACTAAAAAAAGTTACACTCTCTTCTTTCCAAGTGTGATACCCCAAGGTAAGAGTATTAAGATCAATTTGTTGATCTTAATTTGTTGGTACCATGCTGGGTAGAGGCTTGCAGATGCTCCATGACAAAAATGTAATTGCCAAGAAAGTTGATTTAGTCCAATATGTAACCACAGTTTGCAGAGCAAGCTCGTAGTCTCTTGCTGGTCACCTTGGTAGAGCTTTGGTGTCTGGATTTCCTGTTTTTGCAAATGTACAATCCCCATATTATCCCCTAATTATTGTTCCCTTAATGGAATATGTACATATTTGGAATACAGGCTTACCTGATCTGTCTCTGTCATATGAAGTTTGCCTAAACCCCGTGTTTTAAAACAAATATTTCAGAAAGCGAAGTAGAGCCTGTATTGGTGAAGTACAGGAGATCTTTGCCTTTTTGTTTTCATTATGGTGTCAAGTTTATTATGATTCCTTACACATGTGGATAAAAACAGACAGATCAGAAGGAAAACTGGCACTGATTTGGGCTCAGATTTTAGAGCTGCACTGCAGCATGCTAGTTTCTTGTGAGACGAGGCCATTTACCTTTCTGAGACAAATCTTTCCCAAAGAATGTTCTTTGAGCTGCTGAGAAACATCATACTGGATTTTTCCTGTGGACTCCATCAGGCTTTTTGGTTATTACTGGTGGATAACTAAACCATCTGTGTAGGAGTGGGGAATTTATGGCAAAGGCTTTCAGAGGGCATAATGGACAGACTCAACAAAAGAGGTGGAAAGAGATGTGCTCTCAATCCTTCTGTGCTTTACAGGAGGATTTGCCTCTGTTTCTCTAGGGTTGCCTTGTCATTTTCTGTGGAATTTTTTGCTTTTGTTGTTTTTTAAACCACCACGCTGGTACTGGTTGTATTTTAAGACTGGTCAAAGATGAGATACACAGTTCATTTCAGACAGCTCAATGTAATTGGTCTCATCTGTCAAGTGTTCTCAGGCAAGGTATGGATGTATCTTCTGAGAGGAGAGCACAGAAAATATGGACTCAGGTTTTCATTATTTTTTACAGGACACAGGTATATCAGTCAAGCTGCAGCTAAAATTGATGTGGATTTTGATTATGATGGACCTCTGATGAAGACAGAAGTTCCTGGACCACGATCTAGAGTAAGTTTCCAAAGTATAGTAACTTGGTGTTTTGCATCTTTAACTGCATCTAACTTGCTAGAAAACAGATTTCATTCCAAACCTGAAATCTGATATGAATAAACATGATTCTATAAGTCTATGCCCACTTTTATCAGGAAGCTGAGAATGAAAAGCTCATGAGTGAAATGCCCCTCTCTGAGAGGAAGATCTGAATCTCAACTCCCAAGTTCCCATATGGAATACCTCAGAGCAAAAGAGCATTATTTTAATAGAACATCTCATCAGGCTTGGTTAATTGTGCTCCTGCTGTAATAGAAACTGTTTATTATATGAAATAATGCTTTGGTTCTGAAATGAAGCAAGAGTTTGAATTTGCTGGATGTTGTTTTGCTCTGGCAGAGTCAGCATTTGTGCATGGGCTTCAGTTTTTGTGAGGTTTTTTGTTGTTTTTAATAAAAAGGAGCAGTATTTCTAGAACCAGTGTATCAGTATCCCTTCTGAATGACTCTGGCTTCTCTTATTTTCTGATTCCTCTCTTGTTTTCTCAGTTCAGTTGGGCAATATAAAAGAGGAAGCTTTCCCTTTTTGGAGATTTACAGTTAAATCTGTGTTTGCAGCCATTTAGCTCTACATGCCACGGGTCATAATTTTGACTGTAATATTTGCAAGATGCACCATGAAAGTTTCTGTGGCAGGTAGAGTTTCCTGGTAAGCACACAGGACTACAAAGTTTACATGTGATTAATGAAATCATAAAAAAGAAATACACATTCTCCATCAGTATTTGCTAATTATACACCTGAGACTGACATTTGGTTTTTCTGCAGGAATTAATGAAGAAGCTGAATGGCATTCAGGTAATTAATCAAGTTTTCTGTGTTTTGGGGGATGTTACTACTTTGATTTCAGAACTTGTTTTAAAATCCTGGCTTGTATGTTTGTGCCACCAAGAAAGGTGAAACACTGACTCTGGGTTTCCATACTGAGTACATTATGTGTGGTTTATATATGCATTTGAATAAAACCTTTTGTAGTATATTTTGAGTACTGCAGGATCATTTTGCTAGCATCAGGGGGTTTTCTTTTAACATAGGTGTTTAAACTGTGTGTGTTTAAAGAAAAATCTTGGAGTTGTTACAGAGTAGCCAGTAAAAACAAGGTATATTGGGGTTTAAAAGTATGCCAGCCTAAGTAAATAGTGCCTTCCTTAAGATGAGCAATTTCTCCAAGTCTGTGCTTCATTTCTGCAGAAAAAGTAAAGACTTGCCCTTTTAACAGTCATTATAAAAATAGCTGTACAGTTATTCTCGTGCAGTGAATATAATGTGTCTTTTTATCCTTGCATTAGATATTTTTATCAGATTTTGCTGTATAACCATTAGTTGCACCTTCCTACATACTGCCACTTTTTAAAGCACTGTGTTTTTTTTCTTGAAGAATGCAGAAGCTGTGCACTTCTTTTGCAATTATGAAGAGAGCCGAGGGAACTACCTTGTAGATGTAGATGGCAATCGTATGTTGGATCTCTACTCTCAGATTTCTTCCATCCCAATAGGTAGGAGACAGATGTACCAAAATGTTTTGGTTTGTTCTCAGCCTGTCATTTTCTTATCTCAGACACTACCAGGGAAGTTGGTTGATTCATTTAAAAAAACAGAGGTGACATAATGAACACCTTGTTGTGATCAGGGACAGCTCACTGTTGTGTATCCAGACCCACCACTACAGAGTACCTGAAGAAACTATAAATTTAATACCTAAAGCTCACTTAAAGTGCAAAATGGTGCCTGGAAGAAGCACTGGTATTAATCTCTGTTGGAACGTGCAAGTTCTAGAATTCAGGTTGTCTCTGTTGTGACTTTGTGATTTTGTAACAGTATGTTACTGTTTTAAACATTAACAGGCATAATGTAGACATTTTAACGAGAAATGATATGCTTTAGTTAACATTTCTATCTCAAAATAAGTGAGAGGGGAAAAAAGGAGTGTGCCGTGTGGTGAAGGTGGCAGCTCATTTGTCTGAGGGAGCTGACCCTGCCTGGCAAGAGTCAGCTGATTGCTTTGTGAAGCCTTTCAACCAGAGGCAAGGCAGAAATGTGAGCCCCAACTGCAAGGCATACAGGTTCCAGTAGGAGTTCAGTTCAGCCCAGTTTCTTTGCTCCTCATCCATGGTTCCTCTGCTTAAAAAAACTCTTCTGCAGAAGCAAAAAGAGCAGAAGTGCTGGAGTGATTTCAAAGGTATATCTTGTGCTATGTATAGAAACTGTGATGACTGAAAATCATCTCTACAGGCCTCCTTTCCTGGGAAACAGAATTTGATGATGTTCAGGTTGTTACCAATTTTTTGGCATCTAAGACCTTGTGACTGTGGTGGGTGTTCATTTATCCCAGTCTTCTTTGCAGCCAATGTTCTTGCTGTCCCAGAGCACTCAATCAGTGTAACCATTCCAGAGCCCTGCAATGTCTGTAGCTTATTTCCCCCAGCACAAGTTCTCACTGCGTTGTATCTTTCAGAGGCTTCACTGAGATAACTTGGCCATTGCTCACGTGGAAATAGGGGTGAGACACAGGAGCACAATGCTTGTATGCCAATGAGCTTGGATTTTAGGTTGCTAGAGAAGGAGATGCATTTAGTGCTCATGGCTTCCCATTCTTCACCCACAAAATCGATTTAGAGAAACAAGTCTCAGTCATGTAATCAAATACTCCAAAGTATGAAGGTCAGTGCATACTCCAAAAGAAATTGTCCAGACAGTGCACTGAGGTTTTCTGACCTGGTGCTGGGTGGTGCAAACACTTCTTTTAATATTCTTTTAATATACTTTTGTGTATAAAATATTGAAGTATTATGGAGGAAATATTTTCTTAATGGGCAGGGGCTCTGCAGTTTACTTTCTCTGGTTGATTGAAACTGGTGACATAGGACAAGACTCCAGTGCTGTGATTGACCCTCCTAAGGCACGGAGTTCCTCCTTCACACCAGGCAATGCCTTCCCAAGGACAAGCTGGGTTTTTATCCTGGGGAACTCGTTCCTCAGTCCCAAAGGTACTACAGCACAGAGCTTCTTGCACCTTCTCAGGTAATGGCTCTGGGATGTGCAGCAACAAAGAGCAAAGGGAAATTTAATACTTACAGGCTGACCCAAGTCTAACACACAACATTAATTTATATGTTTCAGTTGTACTGATTGACAAGATTATCTGAAGCTGCCCAGGTTACTAATAATGTCCCTCTTGGTGACAGAGGCAGGGTCTGGACTGGGAGAGCAAAACAAGATCATAAGGTGCTTGTTAGTCATCTGTGCTTATCTCTCTGCAAGTAAATCAAATAAAACCTTGCATGAATCTGTCAGGACTCCCCAAGATTTAATAATGATCTGTTACACTAGAATATATTTATCAGCAGAGGTTGAGAGGTAATAAGTGCCTGTGTGGAGAGATAAGAAATAAAAAGCCTCTGGCCAAAGGTGCTCTGGACTGTCTCTTGATGAAAAACAAAAATTAAAAGGGTTTTTTACTGCACTTCTATGGGCAGAAGTAGCACAGCATAGTGCTTTCATCCTGCATCTATTCTGTCTAATAGAATTGAAACCCCATGGAGCCAAATGGAAGAGGGATGTTATTGACATGTTTGCCAGCAAACATCCTGGAATAGCAAATGAACCAATGTGCTTTTCAGTGCTGGGAAGGTCTGTGTTGTTTGGGGAGATGCAGAGAGGTGTAGTTTGATATTATTGACAGCAGCCTGCTGCTCAATTCAAATCATTCTTCGGGCTTTCTCCATCTCATTATTTTAGCAGGCTCTAGTTGTTTTTCCCTTTACAGACAGGCACAGTGATGAGCCTGGAGGACATGTACGTTCCTGTCACACTGATCCAGACACACAGCAAGAGTGATGAGGCAGGTGCCCTTCCTTAGAGCCAGCTCGGTCACCTCTGAGAGGATTGTAACACTGCAAACACTTGTGCTGGTCATGGCACTGAAAGGAGTTAGTGCCTGTTTGCCATGCCAGCCTGGAGCTGTTTGACTTGTCTACCACAGTTACATAATGGTTATTCAAGCATTTAGTTCTTCCTGGTGTTAGCTCCTGACTGTGAGCACACATGCCAGCTCAGCTTCTGGCACACAGCCTGACTCTGTCACAGCAGCTGGCCTTTGAGGGTCCTTCCTTCACTGGGGCCCCTCTGAGGAGGCACAAGGATGAGGGAGTGTCAGGAGGAAGAACAGACCACTTGGCCTGAAGTGAAGAGAATGGGAGAAAGATTCTCTGTGAGTGCAAAAGGATAAATCAGAGGTAATAGAAGTTTGTGTTATGTAAGAGAATGGTATCTCTTACACAATGGCGTTCACATATGCAGCAGCAACAGGATTACAGGTTCTTACAAGCAGCACCAGAGTTGATCCTTGAGCTCCCTGAACAATAGTAGCTGTGCTTTGGAGATTGCTGAAACACTTGATTTATTCTCAAAGGGGCTCTCAGTGGCAGCCACAGGTTCAGTTCTCAAGGACACAGCTCGCAATGTGTCGTTCCCTGTAGCTGAACAACAGCTCTTCCCATGACAGCAAATGCCATGCAGATGTAGTTGTTCTGTGTCCCAGATAGCCACTATTGTTATCTTCATAATAGTTTTAACAGATTTATCAGCGTGACATGCTGCTAAAACAATACGGATATTCTCTTGTTTTCAGCTAAAATATTGAAAACTGAATTTAATTGATTTGTTAACACAGTTGCCTAATGCTCCATTGCTCAAACAGGATAATCAGGGCTGTTGTCATTCCACTGGAATGGGGATTCAGAAGCACAATAAGCTTTTGTAACAAAATTACCGTGGTCTGACTTCTTGAGCAGTAGGGAAGATGAGGGTTCCAACTGTTTCTACAAGGAAATGTAAAAGATGATGTTAATCTCTGGCTCTGGCATTTCATCCATTAGAGATCAGGCTTAAAATGAAATTTCTGGCCTCCTTCGAAGATTATTTTTTTAACAGCAGATAAATTGGTTTTGCCTGTAAGCAAGCAGGTTATCATGTAGACTATTAATGGAGATAAATTAAGCACCTTCATTGTGTTAAAACCGAAGCTATCTTATCTTAGTAAGAGGGATAAATCATTGCATTTTTCCAAGCAAAACTTGGTCAAAGTAAAGAAATGGGTGTGCCATAGGCCCCAACAGCAGTGCTGTGCTGTGCCCTGCACCCAGACAGGCTGCTGGGAGACAAAGAGCCCAGAGGTTTGTCCTACTTCAAAAGAAGTCACATCATTAGTAGTTAAAAATAGACAAGTTGCACATAAACAGTCAAACATTAAGATATAGTTATTCTCTAGATTATGTTTTGCATTACTTCATTGAAACCAGATAAAAATAACTGTTTTCTTTCTTTGTTCTTTTTAATTAGGTTACAGCCATCCCTCTCTGATAAAGCTTTTACAGCAGCCACAGAACCTGGTAAGTGAATTAGAACATGAAGTACATGAAGGAGTTCTCTGTCTCCTTGTTGTGGGCTCTTTTTTTCTTAGACTGATAGTGAATGCTAATGATTCAATTTAATTCATGATAGGATCTTCTTGCTTTGCTTCTCACTAGATGAAAAGGGCTTTATAGTGCTTAAGACACCAAAACCTCTGGGAAGTTTTACAAAAAATAAACATTTGGGTGGTGCAAGCACTTGATATATTTGCAGCCACATTTAAGTCATAATTCAAATATAATGTCTCAAATTAACCATTTTAATAATGTTTTCTGAAGAATTTTTGAGCATGAAAGCAAGCCCAAAACCTTGAGTGAGAATACAGTATCTTGGACATGGTGCCCTACATCTGGTGTGCTGTGGGAAACATAGGGGTTGTTTTTTTAAAGTTTTAAGGGGACAGTGGCTGATTCCTGTCTCCTAAGTGCATTCCAGCAGAGCAAAGAAATGCAGACATTTGAGTTCCCTGAGCTGATTTCCTTTATGGAATTCTCATGACTTCAGGTGAGAAATTCTGCCTTTCCCAGGACTAAAATACTTCAAGTTTATAAAAAAACAACCCCCCCCAAAAAAAAACAACAACAAAAAAAACAGGACTGGAAATGCTGGAGTTGCCAAAGGCAGATCTGGATATTTTGGAAGGTCTTACTTACATTAATTCATAAAGATGATTTCTGAGAATAATATCCTCACTATAATGCAGCAGTAAGCAAAGTCAGGTTTAAAAAATAAAACAAACAAAAGTCCCCAAAACAGTTAAACAAATTAAAAAGCCCTTTTTCTGGTGGCAGTTGCTGATTTGCTCAGTGGGGAAGGGCAGGTGACACTCCTGGAAGCCTGCAGTGAGGGAACTCCTCCAAAGTCCCATAGGAGTGGCACAGCTTCAGTTAGTGTTAGCAAAGGGGTTGGTGTTTTCCTGGAGGGACTTTTTGTTTGGTTTGTCTGTAATGCTCCACATACCCTCTCTGTGTCCTGCTCTAAACATTAAATGTGCATCTATTTCTTTGAGCCTACAGTAGCTCAATGTCAATGTTCTGGTTTTCTCAGTTCTGGGTGTCTCATTAACTATAAAATTAAAATACACTTTCCTGCTTAATGGCAGATGTTGTCATGTGACAACCCATAATCAAATTCACAATGAATTTGTGATCTTCTCTCTTTACCTTGATATGAAAATTTAATTCTGAACTGAGATAAAAAGTCAAGATTTCTCATGGCTACTAAACAAAAAGTTTGTGTTAACCTATCATTAGCATCCTTGCTTAGGTTTTTTTAAAGCTTGAGTCTGTTGAAACAGTGTTTTGGAAGTAAGACACTTAAACAATTTAGAGAGTCCTAGCTCATCCAGTGTTCTGTCTTGTGTGATAGTTGGTTTTCCCTGAGAATGCTGATGAAATGTCCTTACAGGTGTGGGTGACCACTAATGCCTCTTGCTGTGCCTCACACGTGTTGGAATGAATGAGTATTGGTGTGGAGGAGGACTGAAAGATGCTGATAAATGTGCAAGCTTGAGCTGCACTGAAAATATGAGTGTTTTGGGGAGGTTGTGTGTCTCCTCTGAAGACCCATTGAGACCTATCAAAGCTCAACCTTTAATTTCTTGTTCAACAAGAAAAACAACAAACAAAAGGGCAATAAAGCTGCTTGGCAGTTTGCAAATTTATTGAGCTTGTCCTCTGTGAAAATTTAATTTAAAATAAAGAGTAGCACAGTATGAATCAAATAAGATTACCCACAAAGACTAAGAGCAGCAATCAATTTTAATCCATGACACAATTTAAATTAATTGCATAAATGTGACATTCATCTCCATTAGTGGACTGGGGAGGCTGAGGGGCTTTTTCCAGAGCTGCTCCTTAGAAACCCCTGTGTGGGCTGCAGGCTGCTGCTCCCTGACACCAAAGTTACCTTTCCAAAAGGTGTGAATCCTGATGTGGGCAGGTTGCAGCACCACGGTGATCTTGGCCAACCTCCTGCTCCAAGATGGGTGGCTGTGAGATGAAACCAGGGTGCTCAGGGCTTGCTTTATCTGGGACCTTGAAGACCTCCAGAAGATCAGCCTGTTTCACTGCTTCACTGTTCCCTTCCTGCAATACCTTTTCCCTATACCCAAATCAGTACTTCTGATGCTTTGATTCATGCCCATGGCTTCTCGTCTCCCACTGCAGAGCCTGGAGCCTGGCTCCCCCTTCCCAGTGTCCCAAAATGGTCTGTCTTGAAGCTCAGTAAGGATGAAAATGCTGCCTTCCTAACTGAATTTAGCTACTCAAACTGAAAGCAAGTAATGAAGATTTTAAAGCATATTTCCTATGTATAAAGAAAATGGAGATTGAGCAGGTAAAATAGCAATATCGAAGAGGAAATGTCAGTGTGAGTTAGCATGCACCTTCCCTAAGGTGTCCTGCAAGAATAAAGTAGAAAGGATTAGACAGAAAAACATATGCTAAGGTAGGAATAGTAATCCCTAGCTTAAAACTTGTGTCATGACACAGATTTCTGCCTGGTATTTATGGTTAGAATGGAATGAAATGGAACTGCTTTGATAACAACATATATTCCATGTGATAGTAAGACCTAATAGTTCCTCTTCCTTTGTGTTTTTAGAGCACTTTTATCAACAGACCTGCCCTAGGGATTTTACCTCCAGAGAACTTTACAGAAAAACTGCATGAGTCTTTGCTATCAGTAAGTCTGAGATACCCATGGACTGATCACCATTATTATCATTGTTGTTATTATCACTTTGCACAATACTTGTGTTCAGTATTTCAAGAATAATTTTCTGTCCTTGCTGGCAGGTGGCTCCTAAGGGCTTGTCACAGGTGATGACCATGTCTTGTGGATCCTGCTCTAATGAAAATGCCTTTAAAGCAATATTCATGTGGTACAGAGTAAGTAAAACATTAAGATGTTTTTGTAGGTTCAGATGACAAAATGATAAAATAATCAAAGTTGTTATTACAAAACAAAGTGAGGCTTGGAGGTTGTCTTGCTCATGATGTTCTTTATATCCAATCTAGTATAAAATCTTTACTAAAATGCCTTCATCTAAGCTTTTACTTAACATTCACACAACTTTAGAAGTTAAAAAGGAAAGGAAATAAAGAAAGTGCAGATTGTAGTCAGTATGTGAAAGCCATAGTCAGGGTCTTCCTTGACTCCAGTCTCGAATACCAGCATTACTGGTTTATGGTTCAGCCATAAATGCATTGGTTACAACTACAGGAACACTCATGTTGGGTTGTTTGGGTTTTCTACAGAACAAGGAGAGGGGCCATAATAATGTCACAAAAGAAGAACTGGAATCTTGCATGATTAACCAGGTAACATTAGTTCTTTACCCCACCTACAGGTGTACCCAGTGGTTGGGGCTTGGAAGGGAAGATTGGGAGGAAAAGTTTGGCTTGCTACATGTGAAGTGGAATCTGGGCTTTGTACATTTAGGAAATGGTGAAATACAGACTGCTCCCAACAAATATCAAGGAGTCATCAGGAATGCATGGGGGTGCAGCACAGGGGAGCCCCAGCCTCTCCTCACTGAGCCCCCCAGGCACAGCCACCCTGTAAACATGTGCTGGAGCCCCAGCCTCTCCTCACTGAGCCCCCCAGGCACAGCCACCCTGTAAACATGTGCTGATCTGTGTAACAAGGGGTGACTGTGCTGAGGGCTCAGCCTGGTCTGAGCTCACCCGTGCAGCGATGTCAGGCCACAACGTAAAACCCAGGATTTGTCAGCGTTAAAGCTGGGCTTTGGGGCAGGTCCAGGGGGTGACCAAGACACATAGTGCCACTGGAGAAGCTGTAGGTTCATTAAGGGTTGCCTTGGGAGCCCCACCAGCACTGGAATGTTTGAGTGACAGTAGGAATTGATTTTATGTTTTTTAAAAAATTATTTTCAGGCAGGCTCTTATTTTCATGCTGAATCTGCAGTTCCCTATTTGTACTTATAAAAATATAACTCCTGGGGTAAAATCACTACAAACATGCTGTCTCTCACTTTTGCTGGTTTATATCAGCTCAGTCCCTGTTCTAAGCATGTTACCTGAGAGAGCTGTAACTGTGAGCTTTGTGAGTAGTTGCCTTTGGAGGGATGAAACCCACCGTGTCTGAGCAACCTGTTCAGACTGACAGAGCTTCTCCTGCTCTTCTGGAGCAGTGCATGTGGAAACTGATGCTTAAAATCTAGAGCAATCCATTCAAGCCTGACTAAATCAAATTACACAGTATTTCAGAAGACAGTAAAAACACAGAGCAGTTAAGAGAATTCTACAGTCATGCCATTTTTTACCTCTTGGTAGCTTTTTTCTTGTATTGTTCGTAGATGGGTATTATTTTAATTTTTCCCTCTCTGGGCATAGGTTGCTTAGCTACAACTCACTCTAAAGCAATTCACAAACTGGACATTCCCTCACTGGACTGGCCTATTGCTCCATTTCCAAGACTAAAGTATCCCCTGGAGGACTTTGTGAAAGAGAATCAACAGGAAGAAGCCCGTTGTTTAGAGGAGGTAAAAAATTCCCTGGCAGCTCTCTGTTGTTTTTGATTTGAAATAATGAATAGTGTTGGTAGGATTAGTGCTTTTCACTAAAAGAATGTTTTCAGGGCTTGGAACAGCCTGGGAGTGCACCAGCATTCACTGTTGTTTACAGTCAGACTCTTCTCCCTGCCAGCTTACTGGGAATACAGGGCTGCATGAGTGGTACCAAAGTGAAATTTCACCCTCAGAACTTCCTTGTATCTCAGTGAACTCATCTGCCAGCTCTTGCCAAAGGGCCATGGGCTGAGAGATAACCCTCTCTGCAGAGAGAAACTCTAACAGTATTTCAGCCTTTCCAGCTTTTCCATGGCAGCTTCTGGCATAAAACTGATTGTGCAGGGCTGGACCTGTGGGTCCACTTAGCCAAACCTGCCTCACTTCAGAGAGCACAGAATTACAGCAAATGGCTTCCCTGGGGCTGCTCCAGGGTGGCTTTGGTGGGAGAAATGCAATGCTGGGTGCCACTATTTTAAAAACAAACAAACAAACCAAAAAGCCAAATGTTTCCTTAGCAAGTCTGTTCTTGGCTCACTGACCCCCTTTGGAAACCATTGCTTTGCACAGCCTGCAGGGCCTGTGGCCCTGAGGACTGTGAGGGGGATTTCAAGCACAAATACACCATTAATTGCAGCAACTGGCACTAGGAGGTTAATGAGAATTATCTGTCAGCCCCTTACACGAAGATTTCTGCACTATTTCATCTGATTAATTTTAATATATCTGAAGTGGGTGACTGGAAAAAGTGAATTTTCCAGATTGCCTCTTGTAGTACATTAGCAGAGTTTTGGTTTCTGACACAAAATCTATGCCCTTCCATATCACTTAGGTGGAATGACAGCAGTGGCACAGTGAGCTGCAGTGGTGCTCAGCACACTGCTAGCTGAACCTGGCTAGAGCTTTCACAACACTGTAGATAAATGTACAACTGGTTACAGTGTGATTAGGGCATGACTTAAACCCATTCAGGTGCAAGAAGGCAGTGTTAAATGCTGGAGGGAGCCACTAGTTAATCCTTTGTGCCTCCTGGTATCTTTATAGCTGGGAATGTCCATGCAAAGTTGTAGTTCTGATGAGATTTAATCTATCTGGGGGGAAATGTACAAATGTTCTGGAAGGAGGATGTACCATAAATGTTTGATTCACAGGTGGAAGACCTGATTGTAAAGTACAGGAAAAAGAAGAAGATTGTGGCTGGAATCATTGTGGAACCAATACAGTCGGAGGGTGGGGACAATCATGCTTCAGATGATTTCTTCAGAAAGCTACGAGATATTGCCAGAAAGGTAATAAAACATTTCTCTGTCACAAAGTTTGGACAAAATAGGCCATAAAAACCCCACGTTGCCAGGTGACATGAGTAACTCTTTCAGCAGAGTTGTCTGAAAAGGCAGCTTTTCATGCCCCCTAAACTGACCAACTCATGCTGCTGGAACTGCCTCTGTGCCACATAATGGCCAACTCCAACTGGCAGCAGAGACTTCATATTTCAAACAAACAAAGCCCCTAGAAATGACACTCTGCTTCCCTCAGGGGTTTTGAAAATGCCACCTCTGCTCCTCCCAGATGTTTTCAGGTATCCTCTAGAAATGCTCAAGACTATATGAAAACATGTACTTGATGAGTATGATTTCTAGTTTTTAGTTTCTAGTGCCTTCCTGAAAAAACAGCTGAATTTTTAACTGTGAAATCTGACGTGAGTGACATTGGTGTTGGGGTTGAGGAAAGGAGGCTGGGGCAGTGAAGGGAGAGGAAGGAGGGGTGTTGCCTGTGATTGGCTTGAGTTGATATGTTCATTAAGGGAGGTGTTTCTGGTTTGGGAAGGAGGGCTCACATTCCCTGCTCCTCACTCTGTCTCTGCAGCATGGCTGTGCATTCCTGGTGGACGAGGTGCAGACAGGAGGCGGCTGCACAGGAAAATTCTGGGCCCATGAGCACTGGGGCCTGGATGACCCAGCTGATGTGGTAACATTCAGTAAGAAGATGATGACAGGAGGATTTTTCCACAAAGAGGAGTTCAGGCCAAATGCTGTAAGATTTCTGATTAAACTTGGACTCTGTGCTAGTTGGTGACCCCCTGAGGAGGGACTAACATTCATGGAAGGGACAAGTGCTGGTTCAGCTGGATGGGGCTGCTGTTTTACAGAAGCTTGCTGTGGTCTCACACAACAGTTGTCATCACCTCTTCACTTGTTGGAATGACAACAACATTCCAGTTGTTGTCAGTCACCAAGGTCATAAAGCTGGTGTGGGGAGAGGCAAACTGGATTAAGCCTAATGGAATAAACCTTCAGTACAAAATCCAACCACAAACTGACACCTTCTCCTGTAGGGCAACTTGAGAATTTCACAGCTTGTATGTCAGCATTACAGATTCTGTCAGCAAGATTTCTTCTTTGCACTAATGACATTTTAGATGTAATAATTTTTTAAAAAGTCAAATTAAGGGGAAGAACATAAAGCTTGATGTAAAAGCCTTACAGTTGATGCTGATTTCCTTGTTATCTATAGCTGTGTTTCAGTGAGATGTCAGAGTAGCAAGGCAGAGTGCACTAAATGAAGTAAACACCCTGTGTTTCAGCTCAGCAATGGGATTTTGCTTTACAACATAAAAAAGGGGGGTTGATGAGATTAGTGCATGCCTTTTCATACACCACATGTTTGCACTGCCAGTGTGATGCCTTGCTTTTCTTAATTTATGGTAATTCGCCTGTTAACATGTTCCACAACTCTTTTTCCACCCTTTCCCAAGCCCTACCGGATTTTTAACACCTGGCTTGGAGATCCATCCAAGAACCTTATGCTTGCTGAAGTCATTAAGGTTATTAAAACAGAAGACCTTCTAAACAATGCAACCCATGCTGGGAAAGCACTACTGACTGGGCTGCTGGATTTGCAGGTAAACATCTGGGAGGACTGTAGGTAAGAAGGAGAAATTTGCTGCTGAAGTAGGATCTGACCTCATCCAGTTTAAACACTTGGACTGAGGAACTCCAGTTGGAGTCTAGACCATTATAACTTCAACACAGGCCTGAATAACTGTGTGTCCCATTTGGAATTGAAGTAAACTTTCTTTTACTGACTTAAAAATGATGGGTTTATATAGCTTAATCCAATAGAAAGGGTGATCCCCAAAATGTCTGAAGGTATGTACTGCAGTTAATTGAATTACTTTGCTATGAGGTTTTGTTACTGTAAGCAGCTGGTATTTCCTTGTCCTAAAGTTGTTTTTAAAGGAAGGTGCTTTTGTATTTTGTTCTGCTGGGCTGTTGCAATAAGAAAACTGTATCTTTCCCTCCCTTGTTTAAGGGAAATTCCTTACAGCTTCTTCTGTGGGGCTCTACAGAGAGGCATTTAAGGATAGGCTTGCAGGTGCTCGCCCCCCAAGGGGATTTTGCACAGAAGAATCCCAAACACAATCTCTGTTCTCTCCACACCTTTAAGACATAGCAGGCAGGAGAATAGAAAATACTACCATCTCATACTTTGAAGGGCCAGAATACAACTGGTCCTGTCCAAAAGATTGCTCTTCCATAAGATAAGGATTTTGATTGAGAACAAGGGGTGCAGATGCTACTGGCAAGTGTCTCAGTGCAGGGTAAGAATGAGCTGGTTTCTAGCCCCAGTGCCAATGGTTTATGCCCAGGTTTTCCTGGAGTCCACTGTAGATGTAAATAAGGTGTGTAAATAATGTTAGTTCCAAAGAATATTTTACTTGGGTCAGATTCATTCTCCCTGCCTGCCTTGTTGGGCTCTGCAGGCTGAGCAGGACACGAGGCCATGTGAGCCACGCTGCACTCCAGCAGAGCGAGGAGGCAGCAGGGTTTCCACCTGGCACAGTCAGCCTTGCCACCAGGTGCCCTGTGTTGCAGCACCTGCCATGTGCTTGTCTGTCCTCTCTCTGCAGGCTCGTTACCCCCATCTCATCAGCAGAGTGAGAGGAAGAGGAACATTCTGTTCATTTGACACTCCAAATGATGCAACTAGAAACAAGTTAATTACAATAGCCAGAAACAAAGGTAAGAAACTCTGTGTGTGTGGATGAGCTTCACGTGATAAACAGCAGCATTCAGTGTGAAAGTAGTGCTTCACATTTTCCTTTTCATATCATGTATGAGTATTTCAGTGTCAGAGGACAGTACTAAAATGACAAGGTTGGATTTAGACTTTGCTGGAAACACTTGTTGCCAGAGACCTCAGAGCAGTCTGTTGCATGGTGTGTACATTTACCAGTCTCTGCAGGTCTGAGGTTACTGGAAGAGATCTGTGTAGAGCATGAGTTTTTGTGACATCAGGTTCAGAGTCCTCTTCAGTGACTTTAGGTGCCCATGGATGTGGCTTGCTTCTAGAAATGGGAAAGTTAGAAGAAAGTTAATGTCACTCAGGAAAGCACAGGGAAGAAAAATAATGAGTTTTATAAACACGTAATTCCTATACCTAGGATTACCTAATGATGAAATACAAGTGCTTAAAATGGGCCCAGATCTACAGTGACATCCCTCTTGTCCCACAGAACTGTCAACAGCTGCAGACAGGCCCCAGGTATCAAGAGGGGAACTTTGGGATCCACACCTAACATTCTCTTTGAACTCAACTGTGTGGGCCCTGTGTTTGCTGCTGTCTGTTTTTGCTGTTACTCCTGTCTCTTGAAAGAGGCAGGCAGGGTGCATCTAAACTGTGGTGAAACCAAAATTTTAGAGTGTAAAAGACACAATTTTTTGTTCTTGGAAACTAAGCCAGCAGGAAGAGAAGGCAAATGGTTTGTTTCATGGGAAACCAAGGCTCTGCTTTGAGGCAGGGTAAGCTTAGCTTAGTTATATGGGTTCTCACTGCTCAAACATCTCTAAGAATTGATTTTGGGCTAAAAAGTGCATTTAAAGCACTGCAGGGAGAGGTTTCCAGGCACTGAGACATTTAAACTTCTTGTCATTAAAAACTAATTAGTTTAAAAACCAATGCAAAGAAACCTCTGGCACCAAGATACTTGACCAGGAGAGTACTGCAGCTCTGAAATCTCAGATGATGTTTGAGCTCTGTGCTGGATGGATTCTTGTAATTGCTATCAAGATACAATACTCCAAGTGTTTTATAGACCAGCTCCAGGCACCCACGGTGTTTTTCTAAGCTGCAGTGAAGCTTGAGGCCATTCACACCACAATGCTGTATCATGGTGTGGCTAGCAGGATTTGGGGAGCTTCTGTTGGCCTTCCACAGTGAGGGTATCCTCATTCAGAGACCTGAATTTTTCAGGATATTTGACAAAGATAGAAATTACTAGAGGACCTATTCTGTTCTCATTTCAGGTGTTGTTCTGGGAGGCTGTGGAGACAGATCCATCCGTTTTCGTCCAACACTGATCTTCAAGGATCACCACGCGCACCTCTTTCTGAACATTTTCAGTGACATCTTAGCAAACTTCAAGTAAAAAGCAGTTCCCTCGCACTGAACAGCTGATTATGAAATTAGTTTGCATTAATTCATGTCTTCTCTACTTACAGGATAAGTGTAAAGTCATAAACTGAGGTTTGTGTTCTGTCTGTAATCCTGCCCAAGGCAAGCTGCTCCATGCACACGCGCCCCAGGCAGAGCATTGGCACTGGTCACCAGCAGGTACATGCAGCTGTCCCTCACTGTGCATTCCCTAGAAAATGTGGCCTGGTGCATTCCCTAGAACCTCCCTCTTCTGGCCTGGGCCATGTTAACTGCAGAGTCCTCCCTACAGACATGTCCCTGACTCTCCAGTGTCTGAGCAGGGCCTGGTACAGTCTGTTTCCACAGGTGACCCTGGTAGATTTGCGTCCAGAAGCAGCAACAAGTGTGGCCAAACGCTCAGAGCCACACACCTGCCACACAGAGTGCCGTTCTCTAATGGCAGCTGGAATAAAATCAGTGTTTCAAGGAAAGCTCTGCTTTCCACCACTGCCAAGCACAGTATTTTACAGAATAATTTCCAGCTTTATTCCTTCGAGTACAGGCATCTGCCACACCAACTGCATCAGGGCACTGTCAGCTCTGCCCAGCCTGCACTCACTCCTTCACTGGTGCCCTCAGCCACACCTACAGAGCTGCAAGTGGCACTGAAGCCATTGTCCTTTTGTCCTCATCATGGATGGGTTTTAAAACTTTTGACTTCTCTTACAAGCAGACTTGTACAGAGAAAACCCTACCCTGAAGTATGTAATTTGACAAAGCTTACTTGAGAACCATGCAAAGCACATTCTTCCACTTCTGCCAGCAATCTAGAATGATTCCAGATTATTTTCCCATTTTCCCAGAACACACAATAGCCATTAACTTATCTATTGTAACTTCTACACAAATACTTGAGGTATTTTGTAAAACTAAAGCAGAAATGCCATTTTCTGGTATCAGAGCCACTACAGTGAAGGACTAGTCCTGACTGCACATTTATAATGCAAAGTAATCTATTTTTGTTCTAATAGTATATTCTAAGTCATCGATAATGTCAGAGATCTTCTAGAAAGCCACATGATCAAAAAATGTGTCAAGAGTTCATTTATTTGTTTCTCTTCAGAAAATTGTTTTGGATGTCTCTTTACTGTTTGCTGAAGGCTGACTTGAACTAGATCTGGTGCCTTTCTTTTTCTTTTCCCTGGTGAGCATCTGGATATTGTTTACTAAGTTTAACTTTTCGTTGTGCACCAAAAAACAGGGACCACAATGGACATTTACAGTTGCCCTTTCAGGACCTGACCAGAGTTTTTAAGTACATAATAAGAGACAGAGAAGTTAAAAGATTTACATGTTTAATACAGCTACCAAAATGTGAAAAGGTTCCTTACCTGCTTTGAGAAGTGTTAATCATGGTTTCCCCATTTTAAAATACTGGTATTGGGAAACTCCAGCACAATCACTTCTGCCAGCTTAAACCCAGTGGGATTTCTGTAAGCCTCTGCAGAAAGCAGAATTCTGGTGCCAGCTGGGCAGAACCTGAGAAGGTTTTTGAACAGAGGTTGTAGAAATCTGGGGGAAGGACCAGTAAAAATTGGTGTTCAACAAAACTTCATTCTCATCGCTGTCCTCATAAGTGTATTATCAGTAAAAGGAAAGTCAAACCAAGAACTGGATTTGACAGCATTTTGGGAATTAGTTTGTTCAACATATCAGTGCAGTAGTTTTAGTGAATGTCTCTAGCAAGTCTTGTACTTTTACAGAAGCAAAGGTCCAGTAATTTGAAGTCTTACCACATCTTCACTTTTATTATGACTACTCTAGGTGTTTTTATAATTTTTACTGACACTCAGTAACTATATAATTGTGTACAACATGTTGATGAAATCATTAGAGAATACATAGAAAGCACTGCAGCTGAAGCATATAAAGTTAATATTGTTTACAGCATACTGTGGACAGTGCCAAATAAATGTTTAAACAAATACTTAAGTACACTTCATGGTGTAACTAGTAACTGTACACAGATTCATAACAAATGACATCAATCGTGTAATCAATATTCTTAAATAAAATATTTATAATTGAACTTCTCCAGAGCTTTTCATTTTACACCTAGTACATGCCTAAACTGAACCATTAGTGCATATTAAATACATTCTGATGAAGCTAAACCTCCAAAAAACTGTGTACCTGCACAGCCCACTGTATTTTGCTGCCATGGTGTTTTTGCCAAGGAACATTTGGATTTCTTTTGATAATGCCATGCTACACAGTGTCAGACAAAATTTAAACTCACAGAACCCCAGTAGGAAAAATTCAATATGAGAAATAGTAATTCAAGGTTACCCTGTGCATTTAAATGGCAATTTTACTTAACTGCCTTTGCTGATCTGCCACAAAAGAGGTTTCACTACACATGAGGAAGTAAAAGGGAAAGAACACTCCAGATTAGTGGTGAGAGTCAGTTTCTTTTCCAGTTTCAGATGAAGTTAGAACTGGGAGAGGGTTGTATGGAGTTATCTTGTTTCTGACAATTCAAAAAATGTGTTACATTTTATACATGATAGGTTTGGTTCTTTCTTGGGTTTAAAGTCCTCATTTCTACTGAGGTTTTGGAAAAGGAGAAGTCATACCAGTACTGTGGAATAAGACCACAGTCCTTCATGGAGACAGGTGCTACTTTTCCTGTTGCCATGAATAACTAATGGAAATTTTTGCAAGACACTCCTGAAATATTGTCCCAGCCTTTAACTAGGCAGCTGAGCTGCCAGTGTCCTTTGTAGCACACATCCTTGTTTTGCCCAGTTCCATCCTCGAGGGCCCTCCTGAGGCCAGGACAGCCCACACACCTTCCCAGCACCCTCAACTGCATGAACACGTGAGCATGCCTCTCTCTGAGATTCAGCAGTACCCATCACATGGATGTACCAGACCAGCTTTTATTTCCAGAGGCTTCCTAGCCAACCTGAAATTAGCTAAAAGAAACACTGAGTTTGAAGTGGGGATGCTCTGGCAGGTCCTGCATTTCATTTCAAGAGCTTTCTCATGCTTCTTAACAACCAAAGAGGCCAACTGAAACAGCCAGGGTCAGCCCCATTAATTTGGCCTCCCATGGCACATTCAAAGGACAGTTTAGGCTTGGAATGCTGTGATATTACTGAATCTGACATGGAACAGACACTCCTCACACCGTACACAAGCTGCAAGACCTTTAATCCAGTGGGCTGTGCTCCACCACTGTGACTTTCTACACTGGGTGCACTTACAGCAGGCTTTCCACAGGAAAAGGACAGAGATGTGCAGTTTGGTAAACTAAAGCCTCATGGAACAATAAGCACAATGAGCATGCAACATGGAAAATCACTGGAAATGAGCTGCTGTGTCACACAAGTTCTCCAAATATTTGAGTAAATTTCTCTTTGTCTACAATCTGGCCATACTTAATTGTAAAGTACAAAGTATCTGTACTGTTAGACCGTTTGAACTGGTGAAGTAGCTCATCCTTGCTATCTCCAACCTCATCCAAAGTCACCACTGTCTCTATGGGACAGTAAATATCATTACGTCTTCCCCAAAATGTCAAGTGGGCCACTCTGACAGTTTGTCCAGTTTCGCTTAAGTAGATTAATCCAATAATTCTTCTGAAAAAGTAGCTCATAGCATACAACATTGCCCCAGCGAAGACAGCGATGCCAGTTGTGTAGAAGAGGACATTCTGAGACACCTGGCCCTGCAGGTAGAGGTAGCAGATAGGAGGCAGCATGATCATGGAGGTGGCAGTCTGCAGCAGCTTCAGTCTCGACAGGACCCTGCAGTATTTTATCCCTGGGAACCTGTAGACCAGTTTGAACTCTTCTGTCCTCCTGTCCACAGCCTTCTGCTGGACCACAGCAGCAGAGGCCGAGTGGTACAGACACACAGACGGCTCTTGCAGTCTCCTGAGGTCATTACTGACACCACCAACTCGCTGGATTCGTGACTGCAAACACTCCCACGAACCAAAAATCCAGGGCAGGCGAGCGTCTTCCCTTTTCCATGGCCTTGTCCAGAGCTCCTTCCGTAGACATCTCGCAGAAGCTGGTGCTGTGCAGACTTTAGTCCTCGCTGTGCAGAGCCACGCCTGTAAGGTAAGATCCCCACAGGTCATCATTTGAGTCCTCTTTAAAACCCAACCAGTGAGCTCAGAGCTCGGCGCCAAGCCTCAGCTCAGTGTAACCTTAAACCGGTGTTTAAACCTTAAAGCAGTGTTCTGACAGGAAAGTGTTTGTGTTTGTCCCTGCAGAGGGAAAGCCCTGCTAACCCGGCTGCTGTCAGTGAGCCCAGGGACCGACCCTCACACACCCCGGCCGCTCCCTCTGCAATGCTCAGTGAAAGCTGCTTCCACCTGGAGAAACCGGCCACTCGTTATGACCACTTATACAGCGATTTTAGGGAAACAGAAAAGAAAAGCGGACAAAGCACGATAAAGGGGAGGAGAGCACGAGGAACGCGCAGAACTGAAGAGAAAAGGAGGAAGTTCCGCGCTGTCCCCGCCATGCTGCAACCCGCGCGTGGCAGTGCAAGGACCCGCCACCGAGCGGCCCGCGACGGGATGGCGACAGGGATGGGGAACGGGAAAGGGCAGGAGACGGTGAAAGGGGACAAGGAGGGGAATAGGGAACAGCCCACCCTGCACCCCGGCCCTCACCGCCGCCATGGCCGCGCCGCCTCACCGCGCCTGCGCCTG